TACTTCCTCCACTTTATTGTAACATATATTGCATGTAATAATTAAGCTTAAATAATTATGAAAACATTTTCAACCTCTAAATAAAGCATGTTGAATCATTAAAGTTAAAGCTTCAAATTGGAAATTTGCATGGGGCTTGAAAAATAAAAATGTTGTATTTTATCAATTATGTTGAAATAAAAATGACCAAAGCTTTATGAAATCTTAAGAAATACTCATTTTTGGTTATTAGGATTAAGAAAAATATTATCATTAATCCAAAATGAATTGGATGATTAGGATTTGATAATTTTATTCGAATTTCATTCTTAAAGGCACCCAACTGGTTGTCTAATAGAATAAATTATGGTTGAAGCCTTTGAGCTTCCCCACATCCTTTGTAAAAGGGCTAAGGCATATTATTTAGCCCCACCTCTAACTTCTATGTGCTACAAGGCCAACCATTTACTACCCCCAATAATGGTGGTAGATTGATTGTTGGTTCATCCTTTTGATAATAAAAGTGGCTTGACTGACTTCTTTGTTAAATTAGATTATAAGTTATACCTTGGGCTTATTGTACTAACCAATTTAATTAGTCTAGTCATGTTCGATCAAATTAATAGATTCAAGATTTTGAAAGTCTCTATTGAACCATGTGTGAATTTTAATATGAAGCATGCATCTCATTGTAAATAAAGAAATGAATTGTTTTTTTTTTTTTAGTTGAAAAATAAGTTTTAGAGATCTGAGTGAGCAAAACATGATGCTGAGGCACATCATACATGAAGGCTCATTGCTTTGAATCTATGTACACTAAAATCAACCAAATTAGGTCGATGTTTGATTAGCCTCCAATTGTAAATTACTTATAAGAAAATACTCCTCTTAAATGATGGGACATACCCATGAAGAAATTATGAGACAATTTCATCACTTTGTACAATTTCAAATTAATGGTAATGAATCCTTTGAGAATTATTCTCACCAATCTCATCATCAAAATTTATATATATCACCGCTAATGTATTTATGACATCAAGTTTTAATATTGTATATTTAAGTCATCAATAAGATAACGTCAGCCACAAAATCATCATTACTGGACCATCACCAAATGTCCATGTAAAAACTGATTTTATAATGTTGTCAAGCCATAGTTAGCATCACTAGTATAGCCCATTATGCATGAGTGACTTAAATATAATTTAAGAATTTAATCTATGCATGATAGTAGCCCATTATGCACTAGTATAGCCCATTATGTCCATGCATAGGTTAAATCAATATTTAAAATTATTAGTATGATGGTTAAATGAGGGTGAAAATAATGAGAAAAAATGCATTACCTCTAGCCCTACTAGACTATGGAGTATCCTAATGAGTCTTTTGAATTGAAACATAAACCTTCTATATAACTTACATATTTCTCATTCTCTATACTGTGACCTCCTCCACAACATACATGGCATCCTTGCTACCATGTTGAGCCATCTAAATATTTATCCTTGAATGATTATCTCTTTTTATTTTTCAATGAAACTTGTTCTCATAATAGGCTCATTTAGTTCACCTAAGTCACAAAAGGAAAATCAATTTTCGAGAAATGATACATCACCCCGACTCAATGTAAGGTAAATAACCTAATCAAATTATAAACACAGTGCTCCTCTTAAGTTTGTTGACCATCACAACACACCCTTTGCTTCTCCAATCATTCAATAAAAACCACCTTCAATTAGCCAAAACCAAGCGACCTAAAAGCACCATGTTGGCCATATAGCATACATGTCAACACAAATCATGAATTGTCTTCCATGACAAAAAAAATTAGCACATCTAATGCAAAGTGACATTTTTCTAGAAATAATAAAGAGCAAAAAGAAAGATTACCTTAAGCTCATGAGAACCTACATAGCCCATAATGTGGCAACCATTATTTCTAAACTCACCACATGTTTGCTTCATGTACCCTCTATCTTAATATTCATATTCCTACTCTTACCCACTTGGTATTACTTCTATAGTTCATCATAAAACTACAACATACAAAATAAGTGATACTTCCATAGTTATATCTTGATTGAATAATACATATATTATAGAAGCAATGTTCAAAAATTTCTAACATACATATATGCCAGTTTTTCAAGATTATTTATTCTTTTTTATGAAATATGATGATTTATTATTACTATTTCTTGTATTTCCAAACTAATACTTCTAATATATATATATGAAAATTTATAGAAATAAACCATATTTTATATTATGGTTATAAATTGTCTTCTTCAGCCCAACTTGTTGATATTTGTCCAAGAGACAAAGAATGGTGGAGGGAATAAAGCTCATAATCTCTACAATAAAAGCTTAATTTATATATGATTCTCAATATACCCCCCTTCCTACCCAGCCATGTGCATCCACTAATATTCAATCATATATATATTAGTACATGTATAAATTAAACAATCGCTCCTGCTGCTCTTTCTTTTTTCTATTTTTTTTTCTAAGGGAAAGCTTGCAATCCTTTGGCTTATTATAAAGCTATTTTAGCCACCGCATGATGACTTCAGCTGTTACATCTTCATTTCCCCCTTCTATATATTTCTCCTCGTTTTATTCCTTTGCTAAAGCATCCAAAATCATAAACTTCTTATTTTATTCACAATAAGAGCTTTTTCATAGTTTTTTTTTTTCTTTTAATAAAGAAGAGAACAGAAAATAAGAGACCACATATTACATAGTTCTATCTACAGTCGTACAGGGAGTTCACTTTAATATATTAGAGATAAATATATGATGATATAAATATTTGCTCAATTACACTACAAGAAATTTATCAAATACTGGTTGTATTTTTAATAAAGAAGAGAACAGAAAATAAGAGACCACATATTACATAGTTCTATCTACAGTCGTACAGGGAGTTCACTTTAATATATTAGAGATAAATATATGATGATATAAATATTTGCTCAATTACACTACAAGAAATTTATCAAATACTGGTTGTATTTTCGGCGGTCAGATGACTATCGGAAATATATTAAAAAGAGATGTGTATATTGCAGATTTAAAGCATGGCTTCATCATAGTGTAGCACTGCAAGTTGTCTTAAATTTATTTTGCTTCTTTTAAAAGATAATGACTTAATCATCTCTCCCTAAGTGGCCTTATTCAAAAGCAAAAGCACATAGCCTAATTATGAGCACATCAAATCTCTTATGACAGTTTAGTTTATTTGGCAGTTTATCAGTAAAAGCTTCTGCCACTAATTTAGTCATTTGATTCTTTCATTCAATTGAATGTTGAATCTCATGATGAATCCATGAAGGTGCATGGTTGGGCCATTCAACTGATCAATTTTTGTTATTGAAGAGATGTTTTGCTATGCAGGAGAGGAAAGAAAGTTATGTTCTTATTGTATTTTTCTTTACTGTTCCTCCGTTTTGGCTGTAAATAGGCTTGTATATATTGTGAATAATAAAAGAAAGAGGAATCAAATTCTCTCTGTCTCTCTCTCTCCCTCCCTCTGTAGTTTTCTCGAGTGCTAACAGAGCTTATTTTCATGATGATCCATCTATTGCTTTGTTATGAAAATCAAATTGTGGTTTTCATTACAGAATATTATTTATCAAGACTTCACCAAGAACATTATGACTGATTGTTTTTTTTTTTTCCCTTCTTTTCGCGTTCTGTTTATTGCTTCTTGAGAATACACAGCCAATATCTTCACCAAATGTTACCGTTAATGAAAGTTTCAAACCCTGTTAACATTTTCTGCACACCTCTCTTCTAAGTTTTAGGTAAATATTATCATATATCTATACATATATTGTGTGAGTGAAAGATCTTTATCATTACTTTGCGAGATTTTCTTTTTAATATGAGGCAGTTCCGTAATGTGTTTTTTTTTTCTCTTTCTTGTTCTCACCCTTTGCCTACAAATAAGCTTGTAAATGTTCTAAAAAGAACTCAAGAAATATAGATTAATTTATCTCTCTACTTTTATCATTATTTGCAGAGCAAAAATGGGGATGAGGGAGGAAATGAGCTATTTTGTCATCAAATATACATCATAATATAGAAATACTAGTTATTGCTATTCATTTATAGACTTAAGCTTTTATGTTCATAATTACTTTGATCATGAATGCCCCTTGGTCAATTTTAATCCTTTTGGTTGAGTCACCCTAAACCAACTTTTCTAAGCATGTGAAATAGAGGGGACACCCACTTCATTTGAACTTTCATACTAATATTCTCTTTAATTATCAGAATAAAGGGAAAGAAGCATTCCACAAAAGAAATGTTCTAGATGATGTCCCCTCCATCAAGTTCGATCACAATCTTAAAGCAGCAAAATACAAGATTAAAACCCAATATTGGAAAGCTTGTCAAATTTAATCACCTTTGTTTGCAAGTTTTTTTCATCCCTTCCTTGCTTTATAGAGCAAAGTGGGACTTAAGATAGCTCCTTGACAAAAAGTTGGTTGGATTTCATATCTTATGCTGAAAAAGATATTTGAGAGTCACTTTCTTATTAGTAATAGGTAAAGAAAATATATCCTTGTTTACTTTATATGATCTATTCTTTCTCTGGTAGTAAGGAGTGAAGAAACGATTCATGTAGCTTTCAATGTAGTGAACTTGTCCTGAAAAGTACATAATCAGTATATAGTATGAAGTAGCCTTCATAGGAACAGAATGTTGACTGCTTCTGAAAGCCTGCAGCAGCTGTGATATGTGGCTTGAAACTTTACCTTTCAAATGTGTGGCTATCTTATATCATAAGGATAAAAGTGAAGAAAAAGGACTAAAGGCAGAGAAATTGATGGTTTTCAACAAAAACAATCATAAATATGTTTGCTAGTTGCAGAGAAATTTAAACAAAAAAGAAAAGAAAGGGGAAAAAAAGGACATTTAAACAAGCTTTATTCTGCAATGTTCCACAACTTTCTGCAGAGCGCAGAGGAAGCGTTGAACCTGCCACTGCTCAAATCATAGAGATCAGACAATAGATAAGAGGAGTTCTTTTCAGTATCATAAGGCCTATATACATGAGAAAAATCATATGGTACACACACATTCAATGATTGAAGAATCAGAACAGAAACCAGCCTTCTTATTCTCTTATACTCATGTACTCCTTCCTGCCTTTGCAAATTGAAAATTCTGTTGAAAAAGTTTTTACTTTTGTATCTTTCTTTCTCCAACTCTATATAATCATGGTTATCTTTGAAACGGCTATATCTGACCAAACAATGTAGAAATCCTCTGATATTCCTTACCATATAAATCTGAAGCCTGCTGCTGTGGCTGCTGGTGATGTTGCTGATGCTGTGGTTGCGGGTTCTGATGCCAAAGGCCCAGCCCTTCGATGCCGAAATGGCTTTCTGAGTTTGCTTCGCTGCCATATAATGGCTGGTTTTGGCTATGGAGAACTGAAGAAACTGGGAAATTTCCCTGAAGGTACTCTGACCATTTGAGGTCCTCAGGGTCACCTTGTAAATGGATTTGAGTTTCTTTCTCTGCTGTCAAATCTGGCCATGACAGCAAGCCACTGTCAAAGAAGGAACTGCTGCTGCTGCTTCCACTGCTGCATCTGCTTGGATTAACAACTTCCAAATATGGGAAAACTGGAGCACCAGTATAGGATGGAGGAAGGCAGCTGGAAGACAGATCAACAGAAGACTTAAAGTCAATTGAATTTGAGAGAATTGAACTCGAAATTGATGGCCCTATTGTTGATATTGAAGTGCAGCTCAATTCTGGATTCATATCGAACACCCTGCAGTTCTGGTTAAAACAGAGAAAAGGATTTGGGTTCGATGGTAAGCTAGATGTGGAACTACCATAGTTAAGCTGAGGGACAGTGAAGCAAGCCATGGAATTTGATGAAGATCGAAGGCAGGTGGTCGAGTTATCAATGAAGAACTCTTTAGCTGCAATGGAATTTTTGTCAACTGATTGCATCAGAGATGGAGCAGGTTGAGGCACTGTGTGCTTAAGGCTATCACCGGTGTACAATATAGAATTCCTTTCACTGCTTGTAGAAACCTTATTCTCTTCAGGATTTTCAGCCTCTGAGAGAGACTTGTGTGTGCTGGGGTCAATGCCTCTCTGCCTCAGCTTCTTCTTGATGCAGGAGTTCCATAAGTTCTTGATCTCATTGTCTGTTCTCCCAGGTAACTGAAAAAAGGACATTTAAACAAGCTTTATTCTGCAATGTTCCACAACTTTCTGCAGAGCGCAGAGGAAGCGTTGAACCTGCCACTGCTCAAATCATAGAGATCAGACAATAGATAAGAGGAGTTCTTTTCAGTATCATAAGGCCTATATACATGAGAAAAATCATATGGTACACACACATTCAATGATTGAAGAATCAGAACAGAAACCAGCCTTCTTATTCTCTTATACTCATGTACTCCTTCCTGCCTTTGCAAATTGAAAATTCTGTTGAAAAAGTTTTTACTTTTGTATCTTTCTTTCTCCAACTCTATATAATCATGGTTATCTTTGAAACGGCTATATCTGACCAAACAATGTAGAAATCCTCTGATATTCCTTACCATATAAATCTGAAGCCTGCTGCTGTGGCTGCTGGTGATGTTGCTGATGCTGTGGTTGCGGGTTCTGATGCCAAAGGCCCAGCCCTTCGATGCCGAAATGGCTTTCTGAGTTTGCTTCGCTGCCATATAATGGCTGGTTTTGGCTATGGAGAACTGAAGAAACTGGGAAATTTCCCTGAAGGTACTCTGACCATTTGAGGTCCTCAGGGTCACCTTGTAAATGGATTTGAGTTTCTTTCTCTGCTGTCAAATCTGGCCATGACAGCAAGCCACTGTCAAAGAAGGAACTGCTGCTGCTGCTTCCACTGCTGCATCTGCTTGGATTAACAACTTCCAAATATGGGAAAACTGGAGCACCAGTATAGGATGGAGGAAGGCAGCTGGAAGACAGATCAACAGAAGACTTAAAGTCAATTGAATTTGAGAGAATTGAACTCGAAATTGATGGCCCTATTGTTGATATTGAAGTGCAGCTCAATTCTGGATTCATATCGAACACCCTGCAGTTCTGGTTAAAACAGAGAAAAGGATTTGGGTTCGATGGTAAGCTAGATGTGGAACTACCATAGTTAAGCTGAGGGACAGTGAAGCAAGCCATGGAATTTGATGAAGATCGAAGGCAGGTGGTCGAGTTATCAATGAAGAACTCTTTAGCTGCAATGGAATTTTTGTCAACTGATTGCATCAGAGATGGAGCAGGTTGAGGCACTGTGTGCTTAAGGCTATCACCGGTGTACAATATAGAATTCCTTTCACTGCTTGTAGAAACCTTATTCTCTTCAGGATTTTCAGCCTCTGAGAGAGACTTGTGTGTGCTGGGGTCAATGCCTCTCTGCCTCAGCTTCTTCTTGATGCAGGAGTTCCATAAGTTCTTGATCTCATTGTCTGTTCTCCCAGGTAACTGCGCTGCAATCTGAGACCATCTGATAAAAAAAAAGTTATTATAAAATATCATGTCAGAACTTTTTCAACTAAACAAGAAACAGAAAGAATATAAAGTATAAAATTAAAAGGACCTGTTTCCAAGAACTGCATGGAGTTCAATGATGAGGTTCTCCTCTTGCTGTGAAAATGTGCCTCTTTTGAGATCAGGTCTCAGGTAGTTTATCCACCTAAGCCTGCAGCTCTTTCCACATCTCTGCAGACCTGAATTGTGTTCCAATTTCATTTAGAATGTAGATAAAAAACAAACTTTTAGCTATCATTCAATGCTTATAGTTATATATTTACCTGCTAGCTTGGGGACAGAGCTCCAACAGCCATGTCCATGCTTAGTGATGTGCTTAAGAAGCTTCTCATCTTCTTCAGGAGACCACAAGCCTTTCCTTAGCTTCTGCTTATGGCAGCAGGAGTGCCTTCCCATGCCTTTCAATGCCAATTGGACTATAGAAATTGTTCTGAAACTTTATTATGAAACAAGTTGAGGGGAAGAATGGAGAGAAGGCTGAGTGAATGAAGAAGAGAAGTGGGGAAGGAGAGGCAGAATGAGGAGAAGAGGAATGAGCTTAAAAGGTGATGGGAGGGGTCACAATCAAGTGGGTGTGATTTGAGCTGAGGTATTTTTTCCCTCCTATTTCTTTCAATCTCTCTCACTTTTCTACTTTTCTTTAGAGGGTTGGGAGAGGGAGAGATTTATCATCTTAGCTGCAAATGTCTAATCACCCTCTTCTGAATTAATGTATGTTACAGAAAAGGTGGGGGCAGTTAGTCTCTGATATTTTTATTTATTTTTTTTAAGGAGGAACCTGGAAAGGATAGAAATATAGAATGATCCTCAGTTGAAGGTAACAATGTTCTCATATATGTTGATGTATATGTTGTCTTCTTCCTATATTATTGAAATATTGAATTTGTGATTCCAAATTATGATATTCAGTCCACAATAGAATCAACCTAATCCTTATTATAAACCTACTTAGAACCAATTTATCACACCCCAAACAAAGCCAACAAATTTGGAAAAGTGAAGTGGAGGTTGAAAAGTTATGCCATAAGAAAAAGAGTACTGGTAAAGACTTATTTTTTTATTTCTAGGAATGTTGAGAGGATTTGCACAAGTAATTTAGATCTTAAGAGCTTTTTGCTATAAAAAAATATTTCCAAAAAGAAAAAAATTAAGCATTGTTTGGGATAGCTTTCTCACTGTGTTGTAGAAAGTGACTTTCACAAATCAAACAGAAATTGTTGCTACTTTGTAAAAATCAAAGCAGTAAGAAAGCTGTCTCAAGCGAAGCCTAAGAATTTAACGAATCCACTTTGCTCCATCCACAAATGAAAGCTCCAGACAATGACGTAGCTCTACTTAAATCATCGGAAAAAAAAAAAGAGAACGAGCATCAGAGTTAAGCGACCGATCATCACTCCAAACAAAAAACCAATAGAAGTTGATGAGATTTAAGTTGTGTCCATGATTAGTTAAAAGAGTCATTGAGATTATGGTAGTCTACTTTTATCCAATATGCCTTTATTTTAATTCCAACGAAATCTTTGTGTCAGAGTGCAGAATGAGCTGTGTGAGTGTTTTTTTTTTTGGGATAAATGACACTGTCATGATAGCTTTAGAAAGTTCCAATAATGGTTAGAAAGAAGAAAAAATACTTCATTCATCTATCAGATGAAACAGTGAGCATATTTCTTTATTATGGAAAAGTTAGTTCTGCAGCAGGAAAATCTCTTGGAATTTTGTAGCCTCCCGTTCTGGAGAATAAATGCTCGCCCCATGTTTTTTGCAGCTTGACAGCGAAGGACATCTACTTGACAAGATCATAACTAAACATAAGCATCAGAAGAAGGATATTGTCAAAGGGGTCAGTATTGATAACAATATGCAAGTGAGAATTGGAAAGGGTTCAAGCAGGTGAAATATGACTATAAAAAATAACAGATATAAGTTTTTTTAGCTGAATGTTTTTAAAAATATATGTAAAACTTATTTAATTGGATGCTAATTAAATGCATAAGGATGTTTTTATTATTAGAATACATTTCAAATAGTATTCTTTATATATTATTTGTAAATTTGGGAGGGAGATGACAAGCAAGGCGATAGGGCACGGGCGAGGGAGGAACAACGAAGGTGTAGGCACAGGTAACATAGCATGGATGATTGGGAGCAAGCAAAGCGGTGAAGGGCGTTGATGAGGGAGAGATTATTACATGCGGAGTCCGGACATAGAGCTATGTTTGGACTCCCTCATACACACACAATGTGTATAAATATATGTACATACACTATACACATATTGTGTACACACATTGTGTACAACTCTGTGAAACCCCTAACAACAGAGAAGCTAAAACACAACACTATAAGAAATTTAGGGGTTTCACAAACTATATACATAGTGTGTGTATACACATTTACACATACTATGTATAAATGTACACAATGTGTGTACAAGAGAGTTTGGACGTAGGCTACGTCCGGACTCCGCACGTAATAATTTCTCCTTATGAGGAGACATGGAAAGGTGAGGTGAGGCGGGCGATGTGGTAATGGTAAGTGGGCAACATAGCGAGGGCAAACATGAGCAGGCGAAGCAGCATGTGATTTAGAAATCTGTTGATTCTGATGATTATCAATTGCATTGAAAACGAAAATTTCGAGGTATTTCAAATCCCTCAAAACTTCACCTCATAATCATAATGTTTTCAACCAAACAATCCCTTATTAAGTGTTTAGGTGCCTAACATTATTTCTTAAAGTATGCATCCCTAAACCCTAAAATAAGCAGTTGTATCCATCATGAAACTAATTTTAGAAAATGAAAGCAATCATACATGGAATTCCCGAGTACTATAAAACATCTTATGTGATTGATGATGTGTGCATAATTTATTAATTTAGAATAACTCTAAAAAATATAAAAAAGAAAATTAAATTTCTAAGAATTCATATTTAATTTTATAAATTATATCTTCAATAAGCCAAACAAGATAATTTGGGTGGATTTGTGTTTGCACCTTTCTAATGCATTTTTTATTGGTTGGTTAATTCCAATTATATTTTTTTAAGGGCTTTTTTGGGTTGTTTCTTCTAGTTAGAAAATAAGATTTACAATTCATTATTAATTCCAATTACTTAATCTATTTTATTTTTGTTTATTAAAGCTCATTTCTCAACCACAGTTTCAAAAATATTTCTCCAAAAACAATTTTTTAAAGGCAAAATTTTGAAAACAAAAACATTGAAAAAACTATCTTTCAAACATACATTTTTTATACTAACCGCTTTTCTTATCACTAAAGCAGTCGAAAAGCTATTCCAAATAAATTCTAAGGCTTATTTTGGAATGTCTTTCTTACTGCTTCTTAAAATAGCTTTTTATTATAAAAATTTAATTTTTTGTATCAAAAAGCTATTTAAGAAATAATAAGAAAGTTGTCCCTTAGGATAGTTTTCTTACTGCTTTCTACAATAGCTTTTCTGCACAAAAAATTGTTGAAATCAATAAAAAAGTAGTGGTCAAAAGCTATCTCAAACAAAGCATAAGATTCAAATCCTTTCACAGAGTTTTTGTAAAATGGTAAATTATAGAATTATGTTTGATTATAAATAGTTACAAATATGTTACTTATATTTCAAATTATAATTAAAATTTTAAAATTTGTATATGTTTTATTTAAATAGAATAGAAAATTACATTTATGTTAATAATTTTAAAATAATAATAAAATCATGAAAGAGTTTACTAATTAAAAATACTAATCCTAATTATACCCTTCTAATTAAAAAATAAACACCCATAGAAAACGATTATTAGTATACAAAAGCATGATTGAGCGCATGTGATACTCAAATAATTATGGATTAAAATAAAAAAGGGTGGACATTACTACCAACAAAATAAAATCATAGCAAAAAGATTGATAAGATTCTGTTCTTTCTTTTGTGTAGTGTAGGTTTACAAAGGGCCCACCAATAGAAAAGGTTTTTTTCTTTTTTTTTTTAATTTTTCCACTCCTAAAATCCTTGCTGTTTCCAGCTATTTGTGGGCCCCAAAAATTTAATCAATTGAGATGATTTTCCTAATAAAACCCTAATTACCAAAGGAATGCAAATCAAACACATTACCTCTTTAATTATTCCCTAATTAAGGACTTAAACCGAATTAGAGTAATTGTTATTAATTGATGTGTTAGCTGTCGCAGCTTTCAAAGTCCATCGACGCCGACACTCTACAATTTTATATAAATAAATAAATACAATTATATAAATATCAATAAATAAATATATAGGAATGACTTATCTCCTTTTAAAAAGAAAGTGACAACTCTAACCTTGATTTAATTTTTGCATTTGTTATTTTATATAATTATTAAGGTTTTATTTGGGACCGTTTTCTTACTGCTTTATAAAGTTATCATAGAGAAAATAAATTTTTAAAATAGTTGTAAAAAACACCTTCTTAGTATAAAATTTTCTTGAAAATTAAAAAAAAAACAATTACAAAATAAAAATTATAGTTATAGCTTGAAAAACAAAATAGTCAGAAAGATGTCTCAAATGAAGTCTAAGGTTTATTTGAGACAACATTTTTTACTGTTTTTTAAAATCTTTTTTTAGTACAAAATTTCTTAAACTTATGTTATAAAAGCTGTTTTATAAACAATAATAAAATTGTCCCAATTGAACCTAAGCCTAAGATTAGGAGTGTAAACAAGTTGAGCCGAGCTTGAGTCACCCCTGGCTCGAGTTTGAGTTAGAACTTGATTAATTAGTCGAGCTCAAGCTAAATTCAACTAAATAGAGTGAAAAAAAATAGTAAATGACTATGATTAAATCATTATTATAATAAAATGATGAAAACCGTGAGAATTAAGAAGAGAAATAATAAATAATCCCTTAACATAAGGAATTGTGATATAATTTTTTAAATATTTTTAACAAATTTGTACTTATGCTCATGATTGCTAATATATTTTAAATGTACTTTATATTATATTTCTTAAACAAGCCGGCCTGCAAGCTAACGGGTTAAGTTGGGGCTGGCTCAAACTTGACTTGTCAGCTTCAAGCTTAGCACATGAGCGATTTATCAAGGCGAGCTTGAGTTGGGTCACGAGTTGACATCACTCACACCTCTATTTAAAATGATATTATTGATTGTAATGCACAATATGAGAATTGTGAGTGGATTAATTTTAATAAATTGATATGATGATTTAATTATTCATTAAATGTATAAAAAATTTTATTGATGATATGATGGCATGAAAAATCATTTTTAAAAATTTAAGAATCAAAATTATTACAATGAACTTAAGAAGTAACTCAAAGGGATTTAAAGGTTTTAATAGATTTAATTATCTTACTATATAGTTAAGAGTCATTAATTATGAAAAATTTTTAAATAAGAAATAGTTTTTAATCTTGTGCTTAAAGCTAATAATTTTAAATTTTAATTAAGTAAAAAATAATGATTCTCCTAATTATATAAGGAGAAATGGGACATTGTAAATTCTAGCATAAATGTTAAAAAGCCATTCAAAAGGGTATTGGTAATACATAAGCTTAAGAAAATGGAGATGTTTGGATTATTGGATTGACCATATGAATTGTCTACTGGTAATTGTGTCTAAGTTTTTTTTTTAATAAATCTCATCACTTTATAGCATCTTTTGTCTTCATCAAACATTCCAAAATAACCTTAGGTTATTTCTCACTTTTATATAATGAGGATAAATTACTCTAATCTTTTCTTTAATATAAATATCTATCATTTTATTTTTTTT